AGGGCCCAGCCTGTGTTCTTTGCAAACGTGGTGACCCACATGACTTCAAGGTTTGAAGGAACAGTTTTGAAATGTGGCAGCCACTGCACAGCGACCCCCACCTCCTGGTGGGGCTCACTGGGCAGACGCAGAGTTTGCTTCTCCCGCCAGTGCCCAGGAATGAAGCATCGGTAGAAGAGATGCATTCCTTGCCATCTAGTGGATGCTGATGGCATCATCCTCCAAATCCCTGGGGTGACCCACAGGGCGCGGCAGACCTCTCCTGACCACCCGCTGCCCCCCTCAGCTGTGTACTTCATTGATCTGCCTATTCTGTTCCCCACTTTGTCTCTGGCCCCTGCACCTCTGGCCTGTACCCCAGTTCTGTATACATAAATAAATAAAATCTTTTTTTAAAAAGTGAATTCAACACCTTCAGTGATCTACAGTCAAGGAAATGAAACACAGTTGGCTAACAGCTTGCAAACAGCCTTAACATTCTCAAGTGGCTGGGCAAAAACGATGCTTTAGGCTAGGAAAACCTTTCTCTGCTTTGAGAGATTGTTTGAAACACAGACATCACCCCACCTGCTGGCTGAATTATTGATGTTGTCTCCATAGTCTTAAGTCCTAACTTATTCGGCCTCCTTCTTAGTTATCTAATAAAGAAGATATTCTAGTGAAAAGACCTAAATAGTTAGTTATGCATTCAGAACTGGGGTACAGGCCAGAGGTGCATGGGCGGTGAGAGGCTTCACCAGAGACAGAGCGGGGAGCAGAACAGGCAGATCGACGAAGTCCACTGCCGAGGGGAGGGTCAGGAGAGGTCTGCTGCGCCACGTTGGGATGGACCTCGTGCTGCAGTGGCTGTGGACAGCTTCATAGTGCTGCACTTTAACCCGTTGCGCCACCAGGGAGGGCCTGGCATTTAGTCTTCCGATAGTGGTCTGTAGGGGAGAGATGCATGAGAACCTCCTCATTCTGCTGTGTTGGGTAGACTGTTGCTAGCCAGGATCTTTTAACTCGCCTCTTTTCTCCTTATGGCCAGAGCCAAGTGCTTTCTGGTTTTGGAGCCAGCTCAGTAAAGCTTATTAACGATGAAAGGTTAGGGGCGCTGACATCCTGGGAACGTGGTAAAGGAGCCTTCATCTGTCCAGAACGTGGCTTCCTCACAGCTTGGCCCAAGCAGAGCACAGCTAGGAAC